TAGCAATGAAAATAACTTTATGGTTGGGGGTCACCACAACATGAGGAACCTGTATTAAAGGGTCGTGGCATCAGGAAGGTTGAGAACCACTGGTCTAAAGGTAGAGGGATTCTCACTTTTCCAGAAATTCTCTTTAGAAGGGTTGGCGATATTCTGCATTGGATAATAACACTCATCACAAGAGAATCAGGTTGTGCTTGCTTAGATATGACACTAGAATATAGTCTCGCATCAACTCAGCTCACTGCCCCCGGAGCCCATTCCAACTCATAGGACAGCGTAGAACTGTCCCATTGGTTTATGAACCTGTGAATCTTTACAGGAGTAGAAAACCTCATCTTTCTCCTGTGGAGCAGCTGATGGTTTTGAACCATTGACCTGTGGTTAGCACAGTGCATAGTGAGTAATCCACCAAGACTTCAGAGCACCTAGTTGCTTCTAAATAATTGATTTTTCATATCAGCATCTTTAAAAGCATAATAAAGTGGTTAGGCCAATATAATTCCTGCATAGTTGATCAAAATTTCCAATAAAACAATTTCTTTTAACAACATTTTCAATTCAGAATAGTATCCTGTTTTGAAGGCGATAAGGTTACCAGGTAGGAAGATGATAAAAATAGTAGACATGGATATTATTTTTTTATTCTGAGCTCTAAACTTGCTTAATGCAAGAACTTTTTTAGTTTCACTTTAGCCTATGGTTCCAAAATCATTAAATGAAATTTCAAAAAGATCAAATCAATTAAAAAAAAATGTAGTGCTTCTACCAGCAAAAATAACCACGGGCAGTCCTCTGACATGAAGGATTTCTGATCCTAGGTTTAAGTTGAATATGTATGTAAATCGGAACAGGTAGGTATGGTTCATATATAATATCAGTCAAGTGTTTGTCCTGATGTTGCTGTAGTTAGATGCCAGCGAGTTGGTTCTAACTCATAACAACCCTATGTAAACCAAGCAAGAAACACTGCTTGGTCCTTCGCCATCCTATCAATTGTTACGTGTGATTCCATTGTTGTTGCCACTATGTCAGTCGATACAAGTCGACTTAGTTGAGGGACTTATTTGTTTTGGATGACGCTCTGCTTTATATGATGCCCCATTCCAGGGACTGGTCTTTCTGAAGTAGGTGAGACAAAATCCTACCATTCTCACTTCCTAAGAGAATTCTGGCTGTACCTCTTCCAAGATAGATTTGTTTGCTTTTCTGGTAGTCTATGGTGCTGTCAATATTCTCTGTCATTACTGTAATCAAATACATCTATCCTTCTCTGGTTTTCCTTGTTCTTTGTCTAATTTTCACATACATATGGGGCGATTAAAAATATGGCTTGGGTCAGTCACACCCTAGTCCTCCATGTGATATCTTAGCTCTCTAACACTTCAAATCAGTTTTGTACAGCAGATTTGCCCAGTGCAATAAATAGGTCATTTGGTTTCTTGGCTGTGGCTTCCATGAGCCCTGATTGTCG